AAAATTAAAGAAATGACAATTCATTCAATAACTAACTAAAAATATTAAATATTATGAAAATGTAAATAAACAATAAATGTATGAACTAGATTTAAAAATTACCTTGGATTTAGAAAATGAGACAAACACTGAGGTGGAGTGTTATTTTTGTTCCAACAATCTACAAGTATCCAATGAACAACATTGTAGAATGATGATTCTTCTTCTTGAGCTTTTTTCTCGTTCGTATAAATTATTCCTCTTGCTTTCTCAATCATTGTATCCCACATGTCTTAAACCAAGTGAATGCAAGGTTTACCCGTATCACAAAATCTAAGCATGTCATAAATGGAAGAAGTGAAGAAAAGAGCATAACTTATAGAGTTTCACCAAAGATCATCAAGCACTTTCAATTTCACAAAACTTTTCTTCGTCGTGTCATCTTCTTGATAAAATGACCAATTTTCACTAATAACCAAAGCTTGAAGACCACATTGGATAAGCTTAAATTTTTTTAACATGACAATAATAGAAGCAAATCGTGTCTTCACTACGAAAAACAACTTCAAAGTCTCAAATTCATTAAACATTGCTAGTTTTATAGAATGGTTTGTGATAAAAAATTTATAATCATTACATCATCACGAAGATTGGTAATCCAATTGCATTCCTCATATGTGATCAAATTATTTTCAACATTCTTTGCGGCACAAATGTTCTTCAAAGCAAGATTTAGCGTGTGTACAATACACGGTGTCCAAAAAATACGAGGATACTCCAATTCAATTATTTGCCCGTCACCTTTGCAATTTGGAGCATCATCGGTTATTACTTGAACCACTTTTTCATGACCAATTTCATTTTAGCAATAAAATATTTATCTTTCGTTTCTCCAGATTAATCAATCGTTTTTAAAAACATTGGTCCACTTTTGGTCACTGCCTTAAAATTAATTAGTGACCTTCTTTGTGGATCACTCCATCCATCACTTACAACGGTAACTCCTTTTTCCGCCCACGTGCCTTTAATTGGGTTTAATAACCTTTCCACATTTTTCTCTCTTTTTGAATAAGAATAGTTCTCAACTTGTTATAACTGGGAGGCAAATATCCCGAAATTTGACTATTGGAAGCAAGAGTAGAAGAACTAATGTAATAATGATTTCTTGCAAAAGGCAAACCACTTGAATAGAACATTCTAGCAATTTCGGAATCCAATTGGTCACTTGTTGTCATGTTAAAAGCATTTTCTATTGTACTATTCTTTCTTTCTTTTTACCCTCCAAAACATAACAATCCTTAGAACTCATATTATCCGACGGAAATGGTACTCTTTTCCCCACCTTAGTTTTCATCCTCAACTTGGCTTCATCTTCCAATTTTTTGCATTTCACGTATATCTTTCACAGTTACTTTTCCACAATCCCCAATTCCATAACCTTGTAATTTTAACAAATGTGCCCTCACTCTTGTGTATGAACCTGTCTTAGTTGCGTTACAAAAATTGCATTGTCAAAGAATTTTACAACCTTTTTCATTAAACTTATCAAGTTTTGTAACATATTTCCAAAGAGGTTTAGATAAATCATCATCCATAGCATTACTACTCATAACTTCAAAAGAAAAAAATTCAAATAGTTAAATAAAATAGGAGTGATATTACCCGAAACTTGAAAAAATAGGTTTTTCTTGATCTTGCAAATGATTCTTTAAATGTGGATTGATGAAATTTTTGAAAAACAATGAAATAAGAAAGAAAAATTTAAGTGGATTTTTTGAATTTCTCTTGCAATTTTTGTAGGTTATAATGAGGAAGATAAGGTATTTGACTTCTTATATAAGTTTGATTTTTTATTGAAGGGTAAAATGGTAAAAAATTGATTCAAATAAAATTTTACTTATTTTTTTTTTGTCAAAGAATATAGATAGAACAAATTATCATTGGTACAAAAAAACATTCATTACACATTACTAGAAAATAAATTTTACAGTGGTGGGTCCAACAATCCTCTTCATTTCCCTGAGCAGTCATTTCTTCATTTCCTTTCTCATTTCTCTCTTTCTTCTTTCCTTCCCCACGCATTACTTCATTTCCTTTCTCTTTTCCCTATTTCTTCTTTCCTTCTTCCCCAGACACTTCTTCCCAGATGCATTTCTTCCCCAGACCAATGACAGGTTGCATTTCTTCTCAGGTATTACCGTTCATTTCTTCCTCCCATCTATTTTTCTTACTGATTTCTTCAAGCTAGCTGCCTTTTCTCGCCTTCAACACACCTCAAGGAACTTTGACACTCGTCGGCAACGTGTCGGAGGCGTGCCGGTGTCCGATGCGTGTCGGACACAGATACATTGTCACCGGCAGTGTGTCTGTGCTTCTGAGTTTTAGTGTATTATAGTTTCTTAGTTTGACTAGAATTAGGCTATTGTTTGATAGACTTTCTAGTTTGATTAAATTAGGGTTTATTCCCTTGGTTTCCTTCTCAAATTAGGTTTGCTTAGACTCTATATAAAGAGGGGTCTATTAATTGTGATACAGACAACTTTTTACATTGAATAAAATCTGATATTTCCTCAATCTAATTTCTCTCTCTTCTCTCTTTCTTCTCTCTTCCTCCTTTTCGCAATCTTGTTCTTGTTCGTTGTGTTCGTCATCAGTTTCATATTACAGATTCCAGTCAGATCATTTGTGAAAAATGATTGTATAACTTGAAATTCTAATAACCAGGGCTTGACCTGATGGGATCTGATTAATCAAATGAGATTTAGCACTATTAATGTTAAAATGAAGTGGATTGATAAACTTGAATAAGAAAATGGTACTCGTATGACTATACTGCAATAATAGTCATAATCTCATAGAACTATTTGCCTTCAATTGCACAAAATTCTGAATCGCACGAAGAAATTTTTTACGGTTGTCTTTACTCAAACAAAACTACAAGTTGAGGTAAATTACATGATATATATGCCCCCAGATTTATATTTGGATTAATTTTCTACATATTTTTTATTATAAATTATATAGTGATCTTTCCTGATAAAAACTGTGAAATCATGAAGTCATGTTATATAGCCACTGTTTGGTCCCACATTTTCTAAAACTTATTTTTACTCAAATTCATTTTCAATCACCATTTTATGGGACCCACAACTTTTCAACCACACATTTAACCAACTTCTATCAAAATCTATTAAAAATTTGATTTTTAAACTAAACCAAGCAGGGCATAGTATTGCCAATATACCTCTTACCTCTGCAAAAGACAAAAAAGAAGAAGTTAAGATATGGTTCTACCTAGTAGGATCTATTTAATTGTAAAATGTTATAGGGAAAATTAACTTTATACTTGTCTTGAAAGATGCTCAAGAACTCTATCGTACAAAGATGAAACTACAAAAATGTGAATGTCTTTTTTTCTTTTCACACACGTCATGGAACATGTAGAACGGGTAAAAAAGAGAACTTTGTGCATTAAGCCTTTCATGTGTTCACAATATAATCTTTCTTGTCGGATGTAAATTTGCTAGAAGTTTTTCTCTTAAATAATATAAACTATGTTTTTACTGAAATATAATTGGGTTTGGTTTGTGAATTCACACTTCTTAATGTGATTTAATCAACTGTAAATATTTATTTTCCTTTATCTTCTTGCAGATGATGTTTTTAGAAGATTGGGGTTCTCTGGGTAAAGATCACTCCATCTCTTTGCTTGGAGCTACTGAAGCTTTGAAAGCTAGCACTCTTCGGCTTCCAGTGGTTGGAGGAGCAACTGTATGGTCTCGAGATACTTACTTCTTTGTTTCTAATGTTGAAACAAATTCCTGTCGTGATTGATAATATCAACGATCTTTTCAATTTTCCAGGCTGACATCCAGAGCTTGAAGGATGCTATTTGTTCAGCAGTTGATGTTATGCAGGCCATGACATCATCAATTTGTTCACTTCTACCAACGGTAATCTTATGAACTCATGTTTACCTGGATGCTGCTTCTTGATTATGACAGTTTCTGGGAATTTAATACACTATAAAATGCAATCCAGCAAGGACTGGTTCACTGCTACGTACTTGGAAGCAAATTCAGATGGAGAATGTGTCACTGGATTTTTCTTTTGTTTGTTTTCCTAGTGTAAATCAAGTAGAAAGGCGAGGTGTTAGAGTTGAAAGACTTGCACGAAAGCTTCTTCTGCTTGCATTTTTCTGCAAAACAGAAGAGGCTGTGCTTAGGATTGATCTCTTATCTTGTTAAATGCTTATTAAATGATGTAGTGTTGGGACTTAGGCTTCCATACCATAAGGTTAACCAACCTATTAGGTGAAATAGACCAATCCTCTTATAAACCCAAGAGCATCCCCGTCTCTAGTCAAGCTGGGATTTTTGTTTTCACACATCTTTATGGCCCACGAATGATCATCAGGGCCTCCCTCGAGTGATGATCTTCTTCGTTTCATCTTATTTCAACCATGAGATTTATCATGTCCATTGCACCATTCTTACTTTACCATGGAGGCTCCCACAACTAAAAGAGTTCACCTTCATGAAATCTCTTGCTATCATGATTAACTAGAGACCACACCATCGTTCGAATCTTCTTCAAATGTCTGGAGATTTATTTTGCGCATTTGTAAGGGCATGGCTTTGATACCAATTGTCAATTCTTTTATGGACCCATGACTGTCACCATGTCTAGTGGACGTGGGACTTTTGTTGGTATATTTCCGACGTTAAGTTGGAATTAATTATGCTTCAATTTCTATTAACATCAAAGTTACACCAAGTCGAGTTCAGTTGTATATCTGTAATGTAGCCATGGCAATGGGTCGAGCCAGCTTGTCTTGGTTAGCCCAACTCCTGGCTCGGCTCGGCTTGTTGGTCAGCAAGCTGACCTCTGCGCAACTCACATAGCAAAAAGAGAGCTCAGACTCGGCCCGTACTGAACTGAGCCGAGCAGCCTGAAATCTTTTGCCATTTTTTAATAAAATTTTCAATTTTTTATGAATAAAAAAAATAAAATGAAATTGCAGGTTTGCATTGACTGCACATGCTACAGAAAATGCTGGCTGCGCCTTCACAGGTTGCTTGACTTCACATCGGGCCGGCTCGCAGGGCAGGCCCATGAACCTGCTTTATGAGCCAGCTTGCGAGCCCTGTCAAGCTCAAGCTTGGTGTTGGGCTTGATTAAAACTGAGCTTCTCATGGCCTGAGCTTCATAAGCCATTCGGCTCGATTGTCATAGCTATCTGTAATCTATCTTAAACCTTGTCATTTTGATTCCTAATTAGCTTTTGCTGTATCCTAGAGAGTTCCAGAACCGTTCTTTCCAGTAAGTCTCAGGATTAGTTGTTCATACATTATACAATGTTTAACGCCACTGCTTATCATGTGAGAAGAAAAAGAAGCGTGTCAATCTGATCTTCAGTTGAAAGCTGTTCTATTTGCATAGCTGACCTGTGTACGAACCATATTAATCATATTTCAGGTCGAAGAAGTGAATTCTTTGACTGCAGAACTTGCCAAAGTTACGGCAAAAGAGCGGATTTTGCTTGAACGATGCACAGATCTTATATCCATGTTAGCAGCCATGCAGGTAAAATGCATTTTTCTTCAACTCTCCAGATAATCTTTTCTATCAATGATTGACTATTTTTCCTTCAATAAATAAATTCAACAGGTCAAAGACAGTAGTCTGAGAACAAGTATATTACAAAATATCCTAGTATCGACAGCCTGACAAGACCTTAACAACTGACCTTATTTAAGTCGACTTTAGATGCTAACATTATACGACGCTTTTGACCTAGTGAAGGCTGCAACGAAGGTGATGAAAAATGTACCGGATAACGAGTCTTGGATGATCATTTTGGCATTCTGTAACACATTGATGTCTCAGTCCTGTACTCCGGATATTGAATAGTATAGAAAATGATAGTTCCCTTCTTACTAATTAGCTGTATACAAACATTTCTTTCTTCTGTTATATACTAGCCCTCGTTTCATGGAAACGAGAAAAGTGATGTATAGATGGAATATTCGAAATGCACTGTTTTCATATTTGGTGTCTGCAAGTTATTCGCAGGCTTGAGGGTTGATCTTGTAGTATAACTATCAGTTTTACGAGTCTACCCTTTTTGTTCTTTTCCAGTGGCCTTTTTAATAACGATTATTGTCATCATCGATTCTATCTGGTCATGTTCAGGCTAACATACAGCGACTGGGCTGAAACTATATTCGTAAAGGAAGAACAGAGAACACCAAGAATGGATCATGACCCAAGAAAAAACTCTTACCCGGGGGCTGTTTAACAAGGATTATTGTCTTCGTCAGTTATATCTAGTCATGTTGAGTCTAACATAGAGCGACCAGGCTGAAAGTATCGTGAAGGAAGAAAAGAGAACATCAATAATGGATAATGACCCAAGAAAAGCTCTTTTCATACGTTGCAACTCAAAGCAGTTGAATGGCATCATGCTGGTACCCCACCCCACCCGTATAAGATTAAATGAATCCATTCTTGTATTGGGTTCAAAAGGAAATGCCGAAAGGCCTAAAACTACGGAAATGGTGATGCATTTTCCACCCAAACCCCACCCACATAATAGGAATTACCAAGTGCCTGAAAAGATATGGCAACTTGCAAAAAAATGTAGGTCCCCTCTTAATCATGTTAATGTCCCTTTTACAACTCGAATGGTCAAGTCATCCATAAGTGGCAACTTTTGTCAGGGAGGGTATGATTGCGTTCAGGAAGGAATGAATCGCTAGTAATCGTGTTTCCGATTATGCTCGTGACTATGTTTTATCTATTGAGATGTTACATGTTGAATTATTGAGAATGGAATTGTGACAATATTCAAAAACAATTTGGTACGCTAAAATTAGTGGAAGATACTGGATAAAGATCCACGTGACATGCCCGATGGATTGCCGAATATTTTTGAAGCCATCAAAATTATCAACGAACGAAGGCTCCTTGGTTAGTGGTGCTTTGTTAAATGTGTTTGAAAATAAATAGAAAACATGTACAAAGTTAGATATATTCAAAATTATTTAAATTCAGCTCTTTGAAGTTAATTTAGCTCTTTGACAAGTCTGAATGAAATTTCGTTTTTGCCCTCAAAAGTATGTTTAGTGTACTCAAAATGTTCAAGTCTTAAAAAATGCACACAAGTGAATTATGAAGGGAGAAATTCTAAACCAAAAGTTTGTTGTAACCAAAGGAAATAGAAGTAAAAGAAGAGAATGGTAACTTCAAGCTATTTCTACTCAAGGACAAACAACCAACGATTTTGATGCATGCATCGAGATTAACATTTCTAATATTACACTCAACTGTATAAAGTAAACACGACGAAAGATAAAGATAACATTATGAACATGTCAATAAAATCGACTTTGAGATGGAGAGCAGGTACTAGTGCCCCCAAAACATCCAAACGCCCGATAATAAAAATAAAAATAAAAATTCAAAATTTAAAATAAGAAATAAAATAAAAATACTCACAATTAGCCTCTAATCACATGTTAATGTAGAAAAACCTAGACAAATAGTCTCAAGAGCTTTGTTTCATGTCCATCATGGTGTTGTAATTCTTGATCATACATCAAACCACTCTCCAACGTGGTCGTTTCAGACTTATCCGATGGCGGCGATGCCAATCTCCTTTTTACCGTCCTCCGGTTATTCCTACCGCCGGCCGTCATTCTCGCCGGAAATCCAGCTTTAAGTCCAAGATCCAAATCTTGTGACGTGTTATCAAGCCCATTTCTTTTAAGCCTCAAGTTCAAATCTTTTGATCCATATAGATCCTCTGATCTTTCATCAAACTCCGGGGGCTGAGAAAACCCAGAAAACTCCGGCAACGGCTGTAAAACGCCGCCGCACAAAACTGTCTCCACCGCGGATTGACACACGTGCCAGTTACCTCCCCACAGTAACCCCACAGCTCCATTAACTGGATTTACTGTCCTTCCACACGCCTCGAACAATAAAGATCGAAACAACGCTGCAATTTACAAAATATCTCATCTCATTAAAAATGATTAAACTTAGCTTATAGACTAGATGATTCAACATAACATTAATAAAGCATATCATCACCTACTTTATGAAAATTGTGAACGCGTCCGCACTTGATGGAAACATGAACTTGACTAGTAGCGAGGTGAAATGCCCATCTAAGAAAATAGTTTAAACTTTTAAATAAGATAGTTTAACACGGTACCTGATCTTTGGGACTCCGGGACCGAAGAAAGGAAGGACATGAGGCCAGCCCGGCCGAAGAATTTGGCGACAAAAACAGTAGCATTAGCTTGAGCTTCTGCAGTTTCAATGCCTTGCAAACTTTGTCTAAGCAAGCAATTTTCATTGCAGCCTTTTCGAAGTATTCTACACCCATTGCAACTCATTTTAAAAGTTGATTCCTGAAAACCAGAGAGTAGGCAATTATTTTTGAGTTTCTTGAAACACAAGAAATTGTACAATGAGAAAATTTGGTACAAGAGAGGAGTATATAGAGAGGGAACGGTGCATGTGATGTGAAGAAATATATATAATTATTAATGGGGGATTAGAGTTAATTAACTATAGTTTGCTTGTCTATATAGATTTTTTATTTGAAAGTTAACTAGGGTTTCATCATTTCAGAGTGACTTTAGTGGAAGGTGAGTGGAAGTTACATTTGGGTGGCGTAGGTGGGGTGGGTTTCCAAAGTGTTAGGGGGAAGCAGCCCAGCAGCTCCATGTCTCCACATATGAGTAGTTGGATTCATCTTATCTGATAACGTCATATATTCAAAATATGATTTTGAGAAAATTATAGGCCAAGATTCTTAATTTATTAAAATTATACAAACGAGTCTTCGACCTTTGATTTTGGCATTTAAGTTTCAATGTTCCATTACAAAGTGTTGGGACCCGCCAAACTCCACATTGGTATGATATTGTTCGCTTTGGGCTTGGGCCCTCACGAATTTGCTTTTGAATCTACCAAAAAGGCCTCATATCAATGGAGTATTGTCCTACACTTATTAGTGAGGTTCCAACCCAAAACCAATTGGTAATGGGTGGAGTAGCCCACTTAGGTTATATGGTGGATTTCTTTTCTTCTCCCAACCGATATGGGACTTCTTGTTTGCTCCCAACAACCCTCCCCTCAAACGAAGGACCACATCATTGTGGCCTCCCCTTAAATGATAATTCATCAGCCAATTATCTTGCACCATCGTTATTGTCGTCGCCCTCGACCAAACGGGACCCGTCGTCTAATCACCATATTTTTATGTCAGGAAGACTTTCGACACAATGCACCTCAAACGCTGATGATTTATAGCCGGGCGCAAGGCTAATTAGGGGGGACCTCCACCACGCTTTCTGCTGTGTTCCTCTGGCTAAGTTTTTGGGCTCTAGGCTCTGATACCAATTGTTAGGACTCGCCAAACTCTATATTGGTATGATATTGTTTGCTTTGGGCTTGGGCCCTCACGAATTTGCTTTTGGATACTACCCAAAGGCCTCATACCAATGGAATATTGCCCTACACTTATAAACCCATCATATTTCTCATGTCTAGCCGATGTGGGACTTCTTTTACTCCCAACACAAAGGTTCTTAAGTTATTAAAATTGTACAAATTGATCTCTAGTAGCCTTTATTTTTCGTATTTCAATTTCGAATCCGATGTTAGATAGCATCAGTAATTATCTACAATAGCCAACAAGGTGTAGATTACTTAATAAGCACTCTACGTAGAGCACCCTATATTAGGTCGCCTACCACTACGAGGTCCTCTACTTCCACACTGGGCTATCGACTACTATAAGACCTTCTACACTCATGCTAGGCCGCATACCACTACGAGGCCTCTACGTCTACATCGGTTTGTCGAACACTATGAGGTCAACACAATACTTAACCTTAAAAACATCTTTAAGTTTAATGGGAACCGTTCCACGACTAACACAAACACAACTAAATGCTTGGTAGTGGAGGTCCCCCATTCAGAACATGAGGATAGTGAGAGGTATTATGTGGGACACATGGCTTGATAACCGCCCAACAGTTACATGGGCTTCAAATGCCTATAAATACTCCTCAGGTAGGACAAGTATGTTTCTGAAAAAAATTGGCTATTTGATACTCATTCTATTTTTTCTTCCTATGTTCCTAAATCATCTACTAATTCTCACGTTGGAGGTACAACATGGGAGAAAGCTCCAATCTCATTTTGCAGGAGACATTCGTTTATCGGAGTAGCAGAAACACTTTGTGCCCTAGGATGACACAGATGTTATTTTATAATCATCTCATTGGCGCTATCTGTGGGAAACCACTGAACAAAAAAACTATGTCAAGAAGACGAATTAGGAGTGAAACACGCATGCTCGGGAATACAGCAGAGACGGAGTAGGAGTCCGTCGTAAGGGATAATGATCCGTCGTCGCAGCCGCAATATGTAACGCAGAGCCAATTCAGTATTTTGGAGACTCAGTTGGCGGCCATGATAGCCCTCCTGCAAAGTTAATCACAGAGAACGACAGTCTCACCACATAATCCTCCAGAGGTCATGTTCGAGCAACCACCTTAAGAGGCACCAGCAATTGTCCCACCTATTATTCAACCAGTAACGGGAGACTCGGGGGCTACATGGGTCGTAGATTTGGAATGAAAGATGGAGAAAAAGATGACCCAGAAGATAGACAATGCATTATCCAAGAGGAAGGACATATGCAGACAAATGGTTTTGGAAGAAGACCTATTTGCACCCAAGATCAAGGTGGTCCTTATATCGAAAGGCTTCAGAAAATCTACGATAGAGGCATACAACGAATTCATGTATTCGATTGACTACCTGCGGACTTTCTTTGATTTAATGAGACTCTATGCAGCCCCAGATGTAGTGATGTGCCTAAATTTTCCCTCGATATTAAGGAGATAGGCCAGAGACTGGGTAGCAACTTTGGCACCCTGGTCTATCAAAATATTAGAAGTTTTGTGACTTATTTCTTCAACAACAAGATGAAGAGAAAGATAGCCATTGGATTGATGCAGGTCGTACAAGAGAAAGATGAATCTCTATAGGAATACTTGGCTATGTTTAGCCGAGCGACACTTGGCATAAAGGATTTTCAAATGTCTACAGTGGTAACGACATTGATGAATGGGACGCAAAATCGGCCTTTAAAAAGTCACTCTCCAAAAATCCCCTAGAATCGATTCATGACCTGCTGAAGAAGGGTGGCAAGTACGTTGATGCAGAAGAAGTAGAGAAGGTCACAAAAAATTTTCGAGAGGGATGGGAGGTAGAAAGTCACGAGCGAAAGTCAAGTAATGAATGAAAACTTACTGACATAAGCAAGTCAAAAAATAAGTGCTTGAACAAGGAGTACGTTTAGGATCGATCCATCAGGGAAATGCGAGAGGAGGTTAAGGCCTTCGCCCTTTTGAACACCCTGCGCACAAAGTTGTTGATGGAAATACGGAACATGAATGAGCTAGAATGGGACAAAGCCGATGTTGACGCCATCCATAAAAAATGTCAAAGCAAGTATTACCGTTTTCATAAGAATCACGTACATGATACTGAAAATTGCATGTAGCTGAAGGAAGAGATCGAGAGCCTTCTAAGACGGGAACACCCCGGGGACGTGTTATGTCTCTACTTGGTAGTATTATCACAGGCAGGTAGTGTGGTGTTAATGAAAGAATTCCTATGGGCACGAAAGCCAGTTTATTATGTAAGTTAAGTGCTGGAGGGCTCAGAGACAGGATATAGCATGTCCGAGCAACTGGTGCTTGCATTGGTTGTTGCGGCCAGAAAATTGAGGCCATACTTCCAATCTTACACGGTACATGTAATAACTGATTAGTCGGTTAAGCAGATTTTACATCGACCAGAAACTTCGAGGAGATTGCTGAAATGGGCAATCGAGTTGAGTGAGTTCAATATTGAATTCAAACCAAGAACAAATATTAAAGCTCGGGCTTTTGCGGACTTTATCATTGAGCTTATCACCCCACTTTAGTAGCCAGCAAGACAAGAGGTGGATTGGAAAATTTTTGTAGACGGGTCCTCAAACGGTGAAGGATTTGGAGTATGGATCATAATGATAATGCCGAATTTTGAAGAGTTGAAATATTCACTACGTTTCAAATTCCCATCTACAAATAATGATGCTGAGTATAAGGCAGTAATCACAGGCCTGGGCTTGGTCATCAGACTGGGGTGTCATCAGTTGAGATTTTCAGCGACTCTCAATTGATGGTTGGACTGATGGTTGGGCAGGTGACAAGGGAAATCGAAGCGAGGGACGGAAAGATGGCAGCGTATCTGATGAAAGTAAAAGATTTGCAAAGAGGATTTACAAGTTTCAAGATAACCAATGTCCCCTGGAAAAATAATGAGCGAGCAGGCGCATTGGCCATACTTCTATCTGCTAACCCGAAGAATTTGCCTCGCACAGTAAACGTGCAACTCCTGTGGCGGCCAAGTGTTCAACATGAAAGTTACGCAATTTGACCCTAACAAAACCTAGAGGGGGCTGAATAAGTATATTATGCGGAATTAAAAATATTTTACGAATTAAACAGTAACAAGTCACTTTTTAATTCTTATCTAGATGATTAAACATGCAAGTCATTTTAGTTCTAAATTTGAATACCGCAGTTTATATGATTAATCAATAAAAAATCAGTAAATCAACACCAAGATGATCACAGAGAAACCCAACTGGGAAAAACTCTGGACACTTTGTCAGGCAATCCACTATAAACAATTCAAACAACTTACAATCTATCAGACTAGACGAACCGTACTATCCGATCACTCGACTGCACTCCTTACAGCTCTCCCTGGATCCTGTGCTCCCTTGCACCAATCCTTAGCTGCTGTTGCCAAATCTCTCCATGGAATCTACTACCCTGCAGCACTCCTAACCTTGTGGAATCATCTATTTCCCGTGTATCAACGAAAAACACGAAAAAACACTCCTAGCCTTGTGGAACTCCAGTCAAACTTCCTCACTTTTCAGAACTTTGACCAGATATAGAGGAAAAGCAGTTTGATATTTGGATTATAGAAACAATGTTTTTCTCACCAAAACAATCAAAGTAGATGAATGTTGAAAGATAGAATCGAATGAATCTCTCACAAATTTAGCTCTCTCAATGTTCAACCTCATAAATTTTCGTACAGAAGTGTTTTGGTATATATAGGTAGGTTAGAAAAATGAATGAGTCGGGTAAAAAGGTTTTAAATCGCGAAATAAAAATTCGGATAAACACTTCCCTCAAGAAAAGGTCGAGCGACAGTATGTAGCTCTAGCGATGAAGGGGCGACAGTCCAGCGACAATATTTCTGCTTTTGTAGCTCAAGCCAAACCTTGGAGACAGTCTAGCGAAAATCCGCGCCG